TTTTTTTTTTTTTTTTTTAAATATCTAATTTTTGTTCAGTCTTATTCTATATTGATTGTCTTCTATCATTTATCATAATTTTCATAAATTATATCATTTACTGGGCTGCAATTTGAAAAAATTGTAGATCTATAAATTTCCACTGTCATCCATCTGTCTATTCCTTAATCTTGAGAATGGTGTTAGATGAAAGTCAAGACCAGATATGGAAAGCTTGGGGCAGGTGGCTCCAATTAACTATTACTAACTTCCATTCTCTGGAAGTAATTTGATTTCAATTTAAAAGTTTTCCCTGAATGGAGTTACACAGCTGACTGGCATAACTGTTGTTATCAGGAAAAGTATGATGTACAGGGACAAGACACTATGAATTTGAGAGTGAATACATATATTTTAAATTAAAAATAAATTAAGAATATGATTAAAAATGCAACCCTGCATTGTTATGATGGTTCAATAATTTTTGCTTGTTCTACATTCATTTCCTCAGCTTTATCAATTTTGGTAACATTCCCAATAGTATATGCCCTACTTCTTTTATCTGGAGGAGTTTTGTGTAATTTAAACTTTCTTTGAAATGTCTTTCATTTTTCTATTGCTGAACTTTTTCTTTTTTCCTATATTTGACTTCATAAGTTTCACAAATAAGCTTTCCACTTATTTGTGAGACATAAATTATCAGCATGGCTAATAGCATATGCAATACCCTCCAGTTATTTTTCTTTTGGCTCTGACATTGTATATACAGTGCATTGTTGATGTTTATAAACAAAAAATCCAAGTAAAGCTGATTCAATTTGCTAATTTTTTAAATTAAAACAAGTGCTTTAGAATCAGTAGAAATTATAAAAGAGAAATCAATTTTATCTTAAAATTACCGAAAGAAAATATGTTCATTTACTGTATTTTTAATGAATTAAAAAATAAAATCAAATAGGAAATTTTATTTTTCTTTAAATTTTAACAAATGCTGCAAAGTTACAAAACTTTCCTGAACTCTATTGTTTTATATTAAATGAATTTAAGAATTAATTTTTTTTTTAAATTTTATAACAATTATATTTGTTATAACTAAGATATAAAATTGTAAAATTAGCTTTTTTTTTAATATGGAACATTAATAGGATTAATATATCAAAAAATGTTTAAATAAATTTTTCATGAACATTAGAATCAAAAACTTAAAAAAAATTATGAAGATAGTATGCCATTTATTAATTTGTATTTTAATTTCTGGCCTGATGGTGATGTGTTCTATATAATATATTTATTAAATAAGTATATTTTCTTTCAGAAATACAAGGAAAACTTGCTGAAGAATATGTTCTTTTTCATTCTAATAGGTTTGTTATAGATGTTTTTATTTTAAAATAATTATTTATGTAAAAATATGAAATTTCATAATAAGTCTTCCATCTTAGTTGTCAGCATCATAGATACTAGGGTTGTAGAACAGTATAGAAATGCATCAACTCTGATTCCTTTATTTTATACAGTATATTAAATAGGATATGAATAATATATGTATTCATATCAATTGAATACAACATACTGTGTCAATGTGAATTATAAGACTATTTTTTAGAACCATAACCTGTTAAAGTTTTACTCTAAAAGCTATAGCTTTGCTATTATGGATTTTTTATTTTATTTATTAAAAATGGTACAAACATTCCTCTGGTAACATTTATGTTAGGATTGAATGAGATCTCTTGGTCTTATAACTATTCATATTCTCAAAATGAGACTTATGTGATCTGAGATTCAACTAATCTTAACTGATTCACATCTCAAGTCAAAGAATTTTGTTAGGATTGACATGATTAGTCAAAACAGATCTTGAGGTTTTGCCATATAATTGCCATGTGAAAAGGAATAAGCATGTGCTTTGTTTAGTAACCCTAACTGTTCTAGCATGGTAATTTTAGCAACTTTAATGTGGGAAAGAAAAATTTAACTGTTATAAAGAATTATTATTAGAACCGATTCAAAAGTACAAGAATGTCATAGAAAACGAACAAAAATAGCGAGGTTGAGACCGAAGTTTTAAACTCAAAAATGTGTACATCGGACGTTCAGCATGCTTTCCTGTAAGCCTAGAAGTTTGACAATGGTGTTTGGAAAGTCAGTGGAATCATGCTCGACATTCCAAATGCCATTGTGATCAGAAAATATTTAAAATAAATCACTGAAATTTAATTTTAGAAACTAATTGAATTTAATAGTTTTAATAATTGCAATTATTTAATTTTAAGTTTTTTTTTCTTAGTGTAAATGAAGGATTTCAAAATTTGTATTTTTAAAATTTAGGATATGTGTAATAACTTTAGCTCCAATGCATCCTATTCTGACTGAAAAGAAAACAGTTACTTCGGTTGATTTTAAAATTGGAGAAGTAAGTCGTCTTCAAAATCAAGTATCAGGGAAATGGAAAAGGGTGAGTTTAATAGTTCATTCTTGATTATTATTAAGTTATTGACTTCGTTTCTGTTGTTTTCATACTTTAAGCAATTTTGACAAGTTCTAAGATTATGTCTTCTTAGACTTTCTGTAAAGAAAATTGTTCATATTTTTAAAAAAGTTTAAAATTTAGTTTATTAAAGATTTATTAATTAATATATTCTTATTTATTTTAATTTTTATATAAAAGGGTGGACAACAATTAAAGCAACATTCACAATTATGTGAAATCCATTGTAATGACAACTCGGTCTATGCTGTTTATAGTTGTGTTTATGGAAGACTTGTTGAAGTAAATGAAAACTTGCTTGAGAAACCTCATTTGTTAACAGAAAAGGTAAATTTTTGAATTTCTTCATTTATTTTATTCTAAAACTAATTTCATAATAAATTATGATTATTCCAATTATTATTATTATTATTCCAGACTTGGTCTGAAGGATACATTGCTATTGTCTTGCCTCCTCTAGGAAGCAGTGATGTACAAAAAAATGCTTTAAAATAAAAGCTCAAATTTTATTTCAAAATTTTTAATCTATATTATTATTAAGACAACAAGGGATTGAACACAGATTTTTGAATTCAGAAATATTAGCTTAAGAATATAATTCCAAGCATTTATTTTCATGGACTAATTGCTTTAAACTGGTGAAGTGTTTGTTGTTTCACTAGTATGCCCGAAAGAAAATTAAATTAATAATAATTTTGGTTAAGAAAAATCTCGTACCAAATACACACAAATTGAAATAACTAAATACAGTGGGTGATTGCTTAATGAACATAATCCGTTCCAAGACTTTGTTCGTTAACCGATTATCAATTTACCATAGGTTTTTATGGGAATTTGATTAATTTGTTCCGGAGACTCCAAAAAATAAAAAAATATATACTTTTTTACTACGTTTATTTATATGTAATAGTAAAAATACATATATATGCAGTCTTGCATTTTTATTAGTCATGTTTTTTCCATTTGTGGGGGTTAAAGAATCTGTCCAATGTCAATTCTTTTCTCTTTTCTTCAGGATTTTTTGGACATAATTAATAGTATTGTAATTGTAGAGATTCCCAAACCCATTAACCTTATTCTGGTTTGGATGCCACTTGGATGATCATTGTTCTGACATTCTCTTCAAAAGATCTTTAGTAGCAGGTGTTGACATTGGGTCCTCTTTCTTTTCATCTTCCTCTTTTTTAAAAGAAAACTCATCTCGCTGAGTTTCTTGGTATTCTTCATTTGAGATTTCTTGGAGTTCTTCTGTCATCAGATCAGTTTTAGGTTCCATTATGAGCTCTAAAATGCTCTTTATTTCTCAGATGTGATTTTCATTACTCCATTAGCAGCTTGAGACTTCTTGATATATCTTTCATAGCTAAGATTGTGTCTACTGTAGACCTGTTCAAGCCATACTTACTTACAGGTAAAGATAGTTGGCTGTCCTATGGGACTTAGCCAGTGAGTTAAAAGACAGAAGGAGAAAGGTAAGGGTACAGGTAGGGGAGGAAGGAATGGGGTGGGGAGAGAGGTGGAATGTGTATGGGAAGAGTGGAAGGAAAGGAGATCCCAAATCTGACAAGCATCATAAGGTATTAAATACAAGGTATTAAATACAGTGTGCCTTTTCAGCAAGATGAAACAAAATACAATCAATGATACAAAACATTATGCACCAGTGGTATATAACAACAGACCGACACTGACACTACACAATTTCCAGCAACCCTTAAGCATTAACCCTTTTAAACCGATATCCCGAGTTAACCTGGGCAGGTTACATAGCGTTACATAAAACTCGGTCCTTTCAGCCCCCCAAAAAAATTTTTGTTTTTTTATTGAATTTTTTGAATGTTTTTAAAGTCTCCAAATTTTTTTCCTGCGCGAAAAATTTTTATCGCGATTTTAATTAGTCTTTGATAAGGCTCGATTAAGGCTTAACTGTTTTTTAATGGGATTTTTTTATCAAATTTAATTAATCGTTCTAAAGTTGTAGTGCACGGATTTTCCTTCGGTAAAGTTATTTAAAGCTTGTTTCTGATGTCAAAAACAACCTCCAATAGTTTTTTTAATTTTTTTAATTAATAGATTTTATTATATATACGTTTAATTAAGTCGGAAAGGTCGGAAATGGCAATAAAAAACGTAATTTTTAAAAAACATTTAAAAATATATGGCCAGCTAGTATTCACCCTACTTTAAACCCTTCGCCTCCTGTAGATTTTATGAGAATGTTCCGCGAAAGATGATACCAGCTGTTCTCAAGGTCATACAGCTGTAAACACAATCACTCTTTGGTGTCAGATTTCGCAAAAAGGCAAGTCAATGAAAGTTAAACTTTGAAGCTTCCTCTTCAAAATTAACGCATTAGTTTCGTTTTTTTCAGTTTTAAGTATTTTTTACGTTTAATTAAAAATTTCTAAAAAACAGTTGGAGGAACAAGTAATTAATACTGTAAATGTAATACATAAACTCTTTTTTCTCTTCTTCAATTATTACATTTGAAATGGAAATTGGACGTCACCAGTAAACTTATTTTGAAAAAAAAAATGATTTANTAAACTATTTTTTCGTACATAAATCGGTTATCCGAAATATCAGTTATACGAACAACCCCAGTCCCCAATTGATTCGGAAAATCGACGCTCTACTGTATATATATACACATACATACATACATACATACACACACTGCTGACTATTAAAATTGCTACACCATGAAGGCAGCATGCAACAAACATGAAATTTGCATGAAAGGTACAACATGCTGAGTTATGCAAATGATTAGCATTTCAATGTATACTTGCAAAGCAGGTAGGAGTAAGGACACCTACAATCTATAAAAGAAAAGTTTGTAAAGCTGGTTTCTCATACAGAAATTGGATTTGCATGTTGGTTGCTTGTGTAAAGGTTTTGTTATGTCTTGTGTAAGGAGGAGGAATGCCTACCAGCACATCAGAGTTTGATCTTGGTAGAATCATAGCCCACTGGGACTGTGGTTTATTGTTCCATGTTATTGCTGCTTGCATTGGTCATGATCCCATGAGAATATGGAATAGGGGAATCTGTGTGGCCCTCCTGGACCCAACAGGTCCACGAGGGTCACACAGAATGCTGTGCAGGTTCTCAGCAGTTCCTAGTCACTGACGCCTGAGAAGACAGACATCTTGTTCACATGGCCTAGTGGAAGCCATGTCACATACCCTGAGTCAGGAACTTGGGTTGTTTTCAGAATAACAAGTGTCTGCACAGACAGTGCGATGACGTCTGCAGCACCATGGATTATCAGTATGGCAATCATTGCTGTGGCTTTCCTTGATGCTGCAGCAGGCATGCCTACAATGGTGTGTTCAATGACAAATATGGATCAAGGAGTGGTGTCACATTGTCTTCTCAGACGAAGCCTGGTTCTACATACAGCATCATAATGGTTGTATCCATGTGTGGAGGCATCAAGGGAAACAATCATTGCCAGTTTGCATTTGCCGTCATCATGTGGGCCCAGCACCTGGAGTGATGGTATGGGGGTGCCATTGGGTACACATCTTGGTCACCTCTTGTTTGCATAGCTGGTAAGTTGGACAATGGCTGTTACATTTCTGATGTGTTAAGGCTTGTTGCTATCTTTGAGGTCTCTGTCATGCTACCTTTCAACAGGACAACACTAATATTAATCCTTAGTTATGGTTTTGTTTTGATGTTATTACTCTACAGTTTATTTCTTTTTAAGTTTATGAGAAAAAATGGAAAAAAACAAAAAATGAAAGCAGTTTTCTTTGGAAGAGAATAATAAATTATTAGATAATGTGCAAAAAGGAGTTAAACAAAAAGATGTGCCTGACGGCCTACTGGAATGCTGTGTCACAGTAATGGATTTTATTGAAAAAATTTTGATTAACAAACAAAAATTAACTTTTTTTACCAGAAAATAACAGCTTCAAGCAGAAATAACAATTAAAGAGGCAGGATTCCAACTAATTGGTACTATTATATCATTATTTTAGTTTCTCGTTCGTGATATTTTTTTATTATTTTTTATTACAGATTAATTTTTATTCTAATTTAATATAACTTACATTCTGAAAATGTGAAATTTGGTTCCTTAAATATTAATGGACAAATTGTGTTTTTAAAAACTTTCTTAGTTCAAAATGTAAGCAGTTTTTATTATTATTATTATTAATAAATTTATTTTATCCTTGCATTTTCAACTGTATTTCAATATAACAAAATTTCAGTGTAACGAAAATATTTCAATGATTCCCTCAATTTCATTATACCAACATTTCACTGTATTTACACCAAACAATCTTGATTTGGTGTATATAGTTTTAATGATTTTCAGTCTTTAATTTTTCTTCACTTTATGAACATTTTAAACAGGTCAACAAGATCAACCTTTTAAAACTACTTACAAAAAACTTAATATACTCAAATAAAATAATTTTATTTTCTCATTTCATTTTCATTAACAACCTTCTAAAATATTAATCCTGCATTTTAAATTTAGAAGTCATACCTTTTGTATCTCTTCCATCACAGAATTTTTATAAGAGAAAACTAACATTTTTGGGTGTTTAGTAGCCTGCATGAGGCTATAGAACTTTTTATTAAAATTTTTTTTTGAATATTTGGAAGCTCATTTGAATTTTGTAATAAGTTCTATAAACTGGTGAGAGCCACTAAAGCAGCTGAAGACATTAATCAAATAAAAATTGTGCTGGAAGAGGCACAAAAAGTATTATTTATTTATTATAAACCAGTGTTTTTCAACCTTCTTGAATACGTGACCCCTTTACAAGTTAAAAAAATTCTGGCGACCCCCAGGGCCATATTAAAACTGTATAAGTGATTTTAAAAACTACGTATTTAACTTTCTTGCTGTTGAGACCTAAATATCAATCGAAAAACCAATTGTACTTAAAAATAAAAACGCAAAGCCTTCTCACTGAAATTGTAGTTTTATTTATTGTAGTGTAGGACCTACAAACACTTGTCTTTTTCTTTTACCCGCACCCCCACGTAAGCTTTTCGACCCCCTGGGGTCGCAAAGCCTTACACAGTTGAAAAACACTGATATAGATAACCACCTATGGAATTTTGGGACTTTGAGTATCTATCTGAACTGAGGGGACCGAGACGACTTCAACGATACCCTACTTTTGGACCAGAGACGAAAAATAAAGTTATCATACTTTTTCTGGTGATCGCATGATATAATTGTGCAGTTAATGTTACCTATGGTGAGTAAAATGGCGGCTCGTCTCTGATTCCAGCAAAGAGAAGAAAGGAAACAGTGGG